TATGTTCAGTTTAAAAACATATCTAGAATAGGTCTTTATGTGTTTTGGATAATAGAACAGTTTGCTAATAGGAAGTCTCTTCAGCGTGCATAGTTCTTTAAGTTATATCCTTGAAAGTAGGAGAGCAAGCATGACTGAGAGTCCAGTCTTCTGACTTGTTAGTCATGCTGTGAGGTTTGCTCGAACTGGGGAGGGTTTGATTTTTATGTGTGATTAGACAGCCTCCACATCACCGGCAGGCAGCAGGGGGTGGAGGCCTGCCCAGCCTGCTTGCCTGGCAAAGCCTGCCTTCCCTGCAATCTTGGGAGCTGGGTTAGCTGGGACACCTCTGCTCTCAGTGAAGGGAAAGTCCAGAGCATTTTCAAGAGGAGGTGGAAGAATGAAAGTATCATGGTAAAGAGAGAGAAAGAGAGAGAGAGACAGACAGACACAGACAGACAAGAGAGAAGAGAGAGAAAGAAAGAAAGAAAGAAAGAGAAAAGAAAGAAAGAAAAAGAAAATTCAGTGACTCATGACACCAAGGACAAGAGAAAAGAATTCACAAGTATATTTATTGTTCAAAGTTTAAAGCTCATTTTCTGTTAGGTACCTTTACTCTTCCTTTGTGTTCTCTACTGGATCTTCCATAGCTAATAGTGTACCAGGCACAAGGTGCTTCATAAATTCTTGTTGAATGAGTACATCATTGTGCAAACTGCTCACAACTATCTTCATTCTGCACCTCAAATTCACTTTCTCCACTGTTTGTAAGCTTTTGCATTAATATATGCATATCATTTAATAGTAAAGTGTGATGTTTTCCTCTCTTGGACAGATATCTCTTGTTTCCCAATGTATATTTTTAAGGCTACTTTAAGATTAATCTTATTTTTATTAGGAAATATATTTTATAATTTACAGTGAAATAAAATGGTATTAAATTTCTTATAATGTAGGCATAGACTTTTTCTTAAACAATGATCTGAATTCCCACAAGTACGTATTTGACTCATTTAGAGGTTTCTTATTGTGCTTATATATTTCTAAATGATTTGTTAATCCTATTTTTATTTTTATTTTCTTTTGTTTTTTTTTCTGGTACCATGAATTGAACTCACAATTTTGTGCTTGCCAGGCAGGCTGTGCCGCTGAGCTGAATCCCCAGTCCCCAATCCTATTTTTTATACATTAGTTACTACCTTTGTATTATCATAAATGAGGATTTTATATACACACTTTTTTCTCCCAAACTCCATATATGGTTTTATTGAAGTTTAAAGTTAATTATTTCATGAATCTTCTCTTTATTCTGATTATATCCATGTGTGAAGGAAAGGATATTGTGTTATATATTTCTTTTCCCTCACAACTTTTGGTCTTCTTGGAGTTCACAACATCTTTTATTTATTAAAGTTTTTTTTTAGCACACTTTGTACCGACAGTAAATTAATCAAAATTGCCTCAAAATTATCTTAAATTGTCACAATCAGAATAGTGTAATTGCTCTAATAATCCCCAAATCTCAATTGATTTACACAAGTTCATTTCTTGTTCTAGTCACAGTTCTGCAGGTGGCAGCTGGGATATCCATGGATACATTCAGGGCCACACATTTCTTTCACTGCATGACTTTCATTTCTTCTTTATTGAGCTCTTCCTTGCCTCTTTACATCTGACTATTAACAAGAAAAGAGTGAAAGCATGGAGGATCTCATGGAGGATCTTATGGGATTGGCCTGGAACTGGAATCCATCCATTCTATCTGCATTCCATTGACTAGAATTCCATTGCATACCTTCCCCAGCCTGCAAGGGGCTCAGAAATGAAATCGGGCATGTCGCTCAAGAAAAATAGAACATCAAATCTGCTGAGCCCTGCCAGCATCTGTGACTCTGTCTCCATCACCCCGCTGCCCCTGTTGGCAATATACTGACTTAACTAGAACCTGCCTCAAAAAAGGTAGAGAGAAAGAAGAAATTTTTTCTGAGTCTTTATACTTAGGAAAATAGCTTTCCATGTCAAATTGATGGCAGTTCATATGGGATACAATTCTAGGTTAGAGATAATTTCATTTTTTGTTTTTTTAATGTGATTTGCTTTATGTTTCTGGGAGATAGTAAGATATTTAAAGTTGTTTTTATTCCTGGATTCTTATTATCTCAGAATAATGTCTGCTTAAATTATTTTAAATGTATTTTGCTGAACTTTTGGTCAAACTTTTGATTCCAAAAGTTTATGGGCTTTACTTCTGGAAGTTGAAAGTGTTATTTTGTTTAGTTAATTTTTTTCAACCCTTTTTGCACAGAAAGAAATTTTTTTCCTAAATTATTCAGACTGCAATTGATCAGAAATTTTTTTCTCCAAATTTTTACATAGGTTTTTCTTCTATTTCCCTGATGATATTTTAAAATTAATTCTAATCTATCAAAATTGTACAAGTTTAAATGTTTTCAATTTTAAGAGATTTTTGCTCCCATTCATAAATTTCTTTATTATTCATTTTCTCTGGGAGCAGAGTAAAAAGGTTCATGCTGTTTAGACACAAAATCTCTAGTTTACTTTCTTTTGGAGACTGCGCTGAGCAGATGGAGGAACTTATGGTTGGTTTTGCATGGGAGGGGAAGAGGGAATTTTGGTCCAAGCATTTTCTGTACAGACATCTAACTGAACCACGTTTACCCGACCACCTGACCCCTGCTCCTACCATGCTGGCATTTCTGCCTCTTAGGCCTACTACTATTGAGTTTTATAGGGAGAATCAGCTCGCTTCTTATCTTTAACCCCCCTCACAGACAAGTGGGGTGAACACTCTGCTCCTCCAAATCAGGTAGAGCCGCCTACTGATGTAAATTCTTCGGAAAAGTCATTAAAATATATTTTATCTGTTGATGTCTTTTCTCCCTGTTGTTTTTTGTTACCATTTGAGAACATTTATAAAAAAGCCATTTATTCTTACATTGAAAGAATTTAAGGAAAAGGGAATGAAATACATGTGATCAATCTGCCACATTTAATTAGAAGTCTCCCAAGTACATTTATGTATCTGTTTACCTCGGCACTGTTCTTATCGCATTGGAGAAATTACATATATTTAATTTGTGTAACATACACTTCACATGTGAGAAAGCTTTATTATTATTATTGTCACGACACAAGATATTGTCTCCTCTTCTCACTGGATTTCCAGGGTCTTTGATTCTGCTCTGCCTGTAGTCCGAATGGCATTAGTGAAATGGCAAGGCAACACTTCTCTCAGGGAAGGGAATGCGTCACCACTCTCCGCCAGTGTCATTATGTGACTGCAATGGCTCTGAGTTTCAAAACCAGAAGGACAGGACTGTATGTGGCAAGTGCATCCATCAGAGCTGTCCCTGCAAGAGTTGGCTTTACCAGGGACTTATCTGGGGAAAGGGGGTAAATGTGCATGCTAGATTTGCTCATGGCAGGACATTTTTCCAGAAATATTAAGAGGCTTGCTGTGATGTTTTCCTCACAGTATCCCACCCTGTGTCCTCCAGGGTGTAATTTTATCTTGGTTTTTCCTCTTACTCAGCCAGAGCCTGCTCTGCACAGCCAGTTTCTCCCTCACTCTTCACTTTTACTTTTTCAAATAAACTTTTGAAACTAGAAAAAAAAATATTAAGCAAGCAGCAGAATATAGAGACCACCATAAGCTCCACATTCAGAACCAACAGAGAGATCTGCGTTCTGCCCTTACTGAGCTTCTTGATCTTGGGCAAATTAGTAGAACTTTCTCATACTCAATTGCTTCATTTTTAAAGTGGGAACAGTACATATGATAGAGGCCTTGCCTATTTCAAACCTATGCTGTGAAAGGCAAATGGCAGGATCTGGAGGCGAGGGCTTTGCCAGCTCTCTCTCTCACACACACACACACACACACACACACACACACACAGGAAGCAAGAGCTGTCAGGACTGATGAAAGTAGAGAACAGGTTACCTCCACAAAGCATATGAACTATCATCGTATAGGATAGAGAATTATTTTAAATCAGTGAGTTCACAGAGGAATAGGATCAAGGTTGTTTGTATTTCTTCTTTTGTCTCTGGGCCCACAGACACATACCTGTTATATACCCAGGTAATAAACCCAACTTCTTGTACTTTCTTCTAAAACAACTTCTGTTAAACCAGACCAACCTTGGGAGAACGGAGTAAATTAAGTGCTACTAAAATTGTGAGTGGAGCTGAGGCATCTGTGGAACTTACTGTGCCAGACACCGTTATAGCCTTTTACTGATCTGAACTCCATCATTCACAATATCACTCCTGGGGAGGTACTGTCCCCATTTTCAAGGTCAGAACACCGAGGATAGAACAGAAAGATTTCTGTAAGATGGAACATTCTTCTCCATCACTTGGCTACTGTTTGTTTTTCTGAGGTTTTGATTTTTGTCTGTTGTTTTCTCTTTCTAGGAGAAATTCTTGGGGAGATCGTCCTCAGATAATAACAGCAGTGCTGTCCACACCCTAGTTTCTAAGTTGCCTACCTGGTCAGATCTGAATTTAGCAATTAAAATTGAAGCAATCACCTCATTGTTTACTAACATGAATGCAAAGGCCGGGTTTGGGTTTTTCTTTTAATTTTCTTCACCGACGAATAAATAAATTGTAATGGTATGTATTCAGCCCTGTGTGCTCCCCTTTGCCACCACTCTGTAAATGAGGGATGTCAGAGTATGTCTAAAACGCATTCCCCAAAGGACCGGCCCGGATCTTTGCTCTGTGACTCAGCCAGTCAGATAGTAGGTTCCCAATAAACCCCTGCTCAGTGACAGCCTGTGCGCTCATTTTGTTTAAGAGTCATTTATTGATCTCTGAACTGGCGTTAGAAGTGGGAGTAGGACGGGGCACACTGACCGATGTTTTCACATGAGACTTAAAATGCAGTTTCCTTCCACCCTCCCTTTTATTTCCTCGAGGTCTTCCTCTGCTGTGCACCCGAGATCTTGCTGCTCTGTAGTTACAGACATTCCCCACCCCTCGGCGCAGAGAACCTCTGCCTGGGAAGCAGCGCCCTGGGCTCCTTAGGTGAGAGGTCAGAGAAAACAGAAAATTAATGAATAAAAACGAGCTCGCCGCTAGGGCTCGAAGCCCCGCGACGCGGAGGATTTAACCAGGGGCCAGGCGTGTTTCTCGCTGCGGCCGTTGAGTCACTGGCAAGATTGGCCTGCGGTGAGCCCTGCACATCCGCGTTGGGACTCGCAGACACGCCTCCTTCTCACACAAACCCTCCGAGCCAGGCGCGCCGGCGGACTCCGGGGGTGGTGCTGCTGCCAGCCCTGCCTCGCGCAGCCCTGACGGCGCTGGATCCATCCCGAGCCACAGGTTGGAAAAGGAAGGAGCGGGTCCCATGCCTGTCGCCCTGTGAAGCAGATCGCGCGCGGCTGCGGGTGGTGAAGCCCCGGGCCCCGGGCTTGGCGAGGGCAGGAAGCGGCTCTGAAACCCGACCCCAGCCCTCTCGGCGCGGAAACTTCGCAGGCTGGTGAGTCGCAGGCAGCGGCGCGGCCGCAGCGCGTTCCCTCCCACTCGGCTTGCGGGGCGCGGGGACGTGCAGCCGCGGGCCGGAGCGGGGCGGGCGGGCGCCGGCCCGGGGGAGCCCGGGGAGGACGTGGCGGGCTGGCCTATCCAACAGCTGCTTAGGACAGAAACCAAAACAAAATCGCTGGACGCAGTAAGGCCAATTCCTTGCCATTTGTATCTCAAAAAAGTGAAGGAAAAAAAAAAATAACCAGTAAGAATAAGGACAATGATGATGTGTTTTGGGTGTCATCCTGGGAGAAGGGTCTGGGTGAGGCTGAGAAGGTATTTCTTTCCTTGCACTTCCTCGGGTGAATCAGCCTCGGAGAAATCAAGTCATTTCTGCTTTCCAGTTTCTTGCTGTTACTTTCGAATTCTGAGCTAAGTGGTGCATCCACTCCAGTGTGTGTCTGTGTTCGCGCAAGTGGTCCTGATAAAGTAGTTTCTAAGATTTCCCCACCCAATGCGGCGTTACCTAACTAAGCTTTTGGAAACTACTGAAGCAGGTGAACCGTACACAGTACCTGCCTTCCTAAGAAAACCATGTTTGTCTAAGGCTGTGTTTGGTTAAAGCTGTCACGCCTGTAAGGTGTTTACTGGCTTCTTATGCCAAGATCTAAAACTAAGGACATAGGATTCCAGCTCTTTAAAAGGTACCTCATTAAACTGGGTCAAAATGTATTACATATTTTCTCAGGATTATTAACAGCAAAGGTATTTAATATAGTAAAGATGTGCATCTTGATTGATTTCTGTTTTAAAAAAAGGTCCATACGCTTCAACTTTTAACTGTATTTACACACATGCACCTAGTGTATGGTTTGTAAATGAAATTTTGAAAAGTTAACAGAAAAAAGGTACTTCGTCCTTATTACAAACTCAGGTAAATAAGCTGACTGGATTTTTCAGGTTACTTTAAAGTCCAGATTGTCCTTAAAATAAGTGTCATACTTGTCTTGTGCCGCCCCACTTCCCAAATAGTTATTCTTCGTCCTTTCCTAACCTAATCCTTTACCCAAATGAGATCAGCTACTCTTAAAGGCAAGAGGGAATTCTTATAGATGACCAAAAGGAGTAACATACACAGTTGAATATTAAACTTTTTGGATATTTCTGCTTAAGAATTGACTATTGACCTCCCATAGGTTGTTACCATCATCATTTTCAAAGGAAAACAAAACATTTCCGATGAAACTGGATGAGCCTGTTCTCATAGCCGCCAAAAGGAATAAAGGGAATCTGTCAAATGTAAGCAAACCACAGCTCTCCTTTTTCATGGGTCATTTCTGGAACAGGCGCTTTTGACCCCCTAGGGAAGGCAACCCTATAAAAATGATTTTCTTAGTTCCTTAGTTCACCATGTTATACTAAAATTACCTACTGGTTGCGGAATGAGTAACCGTTCTTCTGGAAATGTGGAAATCATCCAAAGTCCCAGGGAGTTCAGAGCACAAATTTGTTCTTTTTCCACCCTCATCCTTGGAAATCTTTGGTTAGGTTTTTGGTGTCTGATCAGTAGAGCATGAAACGTAGACCAACTATTCACATAAAACTTGTCTCACAATTAATCCTGCTTCTTGAGTTGATTCATCATGGCCGGTTAACCAATAGTTCAGCTCTGAAGCAATTAATTGTAATGTTGAGATTCAGGAAGATAATTACAATAAAAGCAGACAGGACAAACCAGATGTTTCCTGTGAAGAGTATGTCACTTTCTAAAGATGGCTGCCAAAGGGGGAATGGTTTTATTTTTTAACTTGTTATTACAGGGCATGCAGGGCTGAAATTTAGTCTGTGGAAATAGGAAACAGGAACATAGTAATAAACCCATTATAAACCCTACATATGGAATTGAGAGTACTACCCAATTTAAGTCCCTTCACAATCGTTATTCACATTGTCCAACTATTAACTGTCTCTCATTAGCCTTCCTTAAATGAGGATCATTTGTCTGGATTACCAGTAATGATAATGCTTTAACAAATGGCTACACGAAATCTTCAATAAGTTCAGTCTTTTTAATTACACAAATGTTCAAGTATATTAAGAAAAATAATAGATTAAGTTGCCTGTTCATTTATTCAACAAATATTTATAGTGTCAAACATGATTCTGGACTCTTGTGTGGACAGTAGTAGACAAAATTCTTAATTGTGTGGAGCTCACCTTTTACCTGGGAGACAAAAAGTAAACAAGATGAGCAAGTGAAATCTATGGCACATTAGAAAACAGTGATAAGGAGAGATTTTAAAGCAGGGGGTGGGGCATGGGTTAACTCTCAGTGGTATGGGACAAGGAGTGTTAAAAGTATAGATTAGATGCCAAGGCAAGCCTCCCTGAGATTACCTTTCAGTATCTATTGGAAAGAAACAAAGGAATGATCCTTGTGGACTTGAGAAGAAAGAGAATTCCAGACTGAAGGAACAGCAGGCAGAGGTTTGCCTGGCATCCGCCAGGAATAACAACGCCTGCCTGTAGATCCACACCACAGGGACTGAGGGGGAGGGTAGCAAGATATAGGGAGGGACAGCAATGAGGTTAGGGCATGGAGAGTCTTGAAGGTCCTCTTCTGGTTTTTAGTCTAGGAGAAATGAGAAAAAAAAAAACTATAATTTAGATATAACCCATCAAACTTTTATTTTCCACAAATACTTATTGAGCATACTGTGCACTTTAGTATTCTAAGCACTGTGGGTAAGAGAGGTTAATAAAACATACAATGAGGAATCCAAAATCTGCTCTTTTGAAGATGGCATCCTATGGCGGGGAGATGGACACAGAACTAAATAAACCAATTAACAATTCTGTAACTTTCAGAGTCAAAGGATAAGATAATGAAAGAGGCCTAGAAAGGTCTGTGTATGATTCAGTGGTCTGGAAAAGCCACAGGGCACTGTTTTAATTTAATTTTTATTATATTTTTATTAAAGCATACTCATTGTACATATTTATGAAGTACAATGTGATGTTTTTTTTTTTATTTTTTATTTTTTTGGTTTTTCTCCGGTACCGGGAACCGAACTCACAACCTTGTGCGTGCCAGGCAGGCGCTTTTGCCGCTGAGCTAAATCCCCAGCCCCCAATGTGATGTTTTAATACACATATAATGCTGACCCTCTGAGTTGTTGTGTTTGACCATGTATGGAAATATTTGAAAAAGTTACATTTGTACTGAAAATCTACAAATGTTTTCTCTTGTCATTATTTCCTACACAGTACAGCATAATGACCACCGACATGGCATTTACACTGTACTAGTATTGCAAGTGACCTACAGATGATTGAGAGTATATAAGAGGATGTGCGTAGGTTATGTGCCAATAAAAGGGACCTGAGCATCTGCAGATTTCGGTATCCTTTGGTGTCCTGCAACCAATCCTGTGCTGTAACTGACAGACAACTATACTTTGTATAATGTCCAAGTCACGACATTTAGCACCTCTATCACCTCAAGTGTTCATTTTTTGCGGTGAAAGCAGCTGATATCTAAGGAAGTGATGTTTAAAAAAATCTCTTTGGCTTCCTTGAAGATAATGGAAAATAGAATAATCAGAGTAGAAAGATCAGAGAAGAGGCTGTTCCAGTGTACCAGAGATGACAGTGGCATAGATTAAGTTTGGGACTGTGGTCATAGGGAGAAGGAGATTAGCTCAGAAGATCTGTGAAATGGAGTTGACAGCACTTGCTAATAAGTTGGATAAAAGTGGAAATGATGGGAAAAAAGAGGCAAAATGATCACCAGGATGCATATTGACGAAACTGGGCAGGTGGTGAAGCTATTTACTAAGATAGGTAAAGCTACAACAGAGAAATTTTCAAAAAGGAAATGAAGAATCCCCCCTCCTGCCTCTTTAGATATTTTTAGGTATCCAATGGAAATATTCAGTGGGGGTTTTACATATATGAATCTAGAGCACTTAGAAGAAGTCATAACTGAAATTTAAAATTTGGGGTCAAACTCTTATAAGTGCTATTTAGAGCCATGGTCTTCAGAGGATCATCTAGAAAGATATTGGAGAGAGAAATAGAAGCCTGAGGACCATGTTCTTGCATATCTTAATGCTTAGGAGTCTTGTGTATTGCATAGGAAGAGCCAGTAAAAAATGAATAAAGTGGGAGGTAAATTACCAGGGGACACTACCATCATAAACTCAAGCCAGGAAGTTTTTAAAAAATGGTCAGTGGTGTCAGATGTTGCTAAGATGGAGAGTGAGATAAGGACAAGGATGTGGTAATTTCGCATGACTGTGTGGAATCACTGACAACTCTGGTAAGAGACAGAGTGCTCAAAATAAGCTAGTCAGAAAAACTAACCTAAAATTTTTTTGAAATAGCATTTCACCTATTCCCAAAGAGAAACAGAAAAGAAAGAGACCACTACATAAACTACATAAACTCATAAGGCTACAAACAGGGTCTAATCCAGTGATGGAGAATCTCATAAGGCTACACACAGGGTCTAATCCAGTGATGGAGAACCTTTGAGAGCTTTCATTGATAACAAACAGCTGGCTATAGCCTGCATGCCAAAGGTTTGTTCCCACTGGATCAAATCAGTTTTTAAAGCTGATTTGTAGGACAGAAGGACAAAGAAAAATATAATTAGAAATATCCACCTCTGCGAGCTGTCAGCAAGTGTAAAACCAAGTTTGGGGAAGTGTAAAACCAAGCTGAATGGGCGGAAGCTTGGACAAAATGTTAAGGAAAGCCAAAGATTCTTTGAGCATTTTTCAGAAGAAAGCAGTGAATAAGGAAGTCATCCCACATCATGTGAGTGATTTTGCTTCCTTCTTTCTTTGTTCCAAATTGGATTAGATAACACTAAAGGAAATTAAAATCAAAGAATATTAAGAAGTTATTGTGACTGCAAGTAACTTCTTTAAATTGGAGAGAAAAGAGTGAAATGGGAGTGGTTAAGAGGATTATGGTGGAGACATGGCATCTCAGTTGAGACCTAAGGAATGTCTGAGTGCCCAACAAGGGAAGGATTAAGAAAGAATAAGCCCAACGAAGTAAAAGAACCTGTGGAGTTCCTAAACCAGGAAGGATCTCGCTGCATTCAGAGACCGGAAAGAAGAGCGTGGAGAGTGGGAAGCAGATGCCAAGGGAGGGCCCAAGTCAGGTTGGAGACATCACTTGGGGAATCATTGCAGAAATGAAATAAAACCAAGGAAAACTAAGCAAAGCAGCCACCCAAGATTGTCAGAGGTGTTGTAGCGATGTCTTCTGCTGGGAAATGAATTGAACGATTTACATTCTCTTCCAGATCTGTGATCTTACAAACAGGTATACAATTTGGTAGCTCTTCTAGACCGAGAATTGATAGTGACCACTTAGTTATACAAGATAAAAACAGATCAAAGTACGTCAGCTTGTAGCTGCCATATAAGTCATTGGTTTAATAGCCCAAAATGTAAGCACATTTTTAGATTAGTATAGCTATATTAAAGGATACTAAAATCTGCCCACATAATTCTGTGAGCAGTTTTATATGGGCAGATACAGGCTCATAAATTAATGGATGTTAAGCCAAATAATTATTTTTAATCTATTATTAATCAAATATTTCCAGTGTTATAAAGTATTTAGCTATGGACATGATATCCAGTCTTAAGATACTCATTTTTCTCTGTGTAAAATGAAAGGTATCATTGACTATTTTAACAGACCTACTGTCTAACTTTAGACTTGGGTCACCTATATTTTTGGCTTCATGTTTAATTTCTTCTTTCTTCTTTTCATAGCATTTATGTATCTATCCATTTTGCTAGAGACAGATGTCCATAGATATAGACACATATATCTGCATATAATTAGACATATGTGTGTGCATGTACATACAGGTATAAAAAAGAAAGAAATATAAACTGTACAAAAGAGGAAATTCATTTAAAAAGGTTTAGGGAGAAAGTACAAAACTTTATTTTAGTATTTTGTTTGTAGCACATAAATCTACCTCCAATTATAATGAATCTAGGGTCAACACAAACAGTTTTATTATTGCTTCTCTAGCTTTCTAGAAAAGTGAAACCATGTAGTGAATCTGACCCAAGGGATGCAATAGAATAAGAATAATTAGAAAAAGCAAAGTTGATTTATATTTGTACAGTCTAATTTAGGCAAGGTAATCAGAGCTTGAGAAGTTTATTAAAAAAATTACTCAATACTTACGTTGACTACTCAGAATATGTTGATTTTATAGAAGAAATGTGTTGTTAATAAATATTCCTAGGCATGTTACAATATTA